GAAAACCAGGCCATTTTAAATTAAACTGTTTCGCTAGGAGCAAATTTTGTTGAATTTTCTATTGGATTTGGCGATTCTATCCCCCACATAAATGAGCAGTGACGTCATAGTGAAATAGGGCAATTCTGGGCAGACACTCTCTGATGACTCCGGCTGATATTCTAAGCCCTGAGATTTCTATTGTAACAATAATATAAGTGGCAAGACAATGCATGCCAAAAAGAATGTCCAGCTCCACCCCTTCCCCCTCCATGTCAAAAAACCAAGAACCCGGCCTAGCCTATGATTGCCACTTACTTTGTTGCTTGAGTTCATTAATATTTTCAAACTTCTTTTTGAAATCTCTTGCGATTCCTCTGTGCATTTCAAAATCAGCACTTACAGAGCAAACAAGAGATACTTCTGCAGGAGAAGCAAGGATAAGCCATGGACGGCCTTTCAATTCTGTGATGTCTGTCTGGTACTGAAGTTTCAGAAACATTAATCAGTGAATAGAAACAAAGGTATAATGGTTTGACAAACACTTTATGAAATAACTAGTGGATGTATCCTATTACAGTTTAATCAGTTGAATCGTATTACAGTTGAATCTCTATAAGTGGCCACCATTGGGGTCAAATGGTTGATACATAAAGGTTGGCCACTTTAATAACAGAGGTATATATTACTGGGACTTATGACAACTGGCTTTTAAATAGAAATTACAAATGTACTGGCTTTAAATGAACTATTTACTTGGTTTGTTTAGTTAGTTCTCTAAATACAAGTAAGAAATCATTTTTCTAGCTTGATTGAAGCTTTTCTTACTGCTGTTAAGAGAGCTGACTAAAGAAATCTACCTGAATTTTCTCTTTAAACTCAGTGAATTTGTATGGGAATCCGAGAACAATGTCCGAACTTTTTAGTGACAATCCAAGCTAGCGCCGAAAAGGTGAATTTCCTCATCTCATGTTTTTCCAACATTTTAGCAAATAATTATAAAGCTGTTGGTTGTGGAATATTTTGGTCTTACATGGTCGGTTTACAAACCACAACATATCATACCTTTTCTTCTTTATTAATACTCTTTGTTGAAAGAAGTTGGACGACAGCTGGTAAGCTTTTCCTATATAACAATCCTGGGAATGAAGAAATATGGTACTCAACACAGTTAGAATACGTAGAAAATCTCAAATAAGAAATATTTGCATGAAAATTTAACGAAACATAAATAACTAGGTTTTGCAACGTCTTACCATCTATTGTACGTAGCGTTTGTTTTTGAAAAATAGCTTTAAATAACGCCATGAAGATGGGTTGAAGTTAACAGCTAGGACAGCAAACATGGAGAAACACTGAATTAGACAGGCGTTGCTTGCCAAGGACAAGTAGTACTGGGGCTAGAAAAACAAAGGTACCCCAACCCGTGATTTAGGTCGGAAGCTCCAGCTAAATCCTATTTCTCAATAATTTGTCATTTTTTGTATTTATAGTTTATAGAATTCTTTGGAAAGTCTTTGCAAATAATTTAGACGTGGTTTTATATTTCTTATACATACGTTGGATAACTCTATTAACTATGACCGCACCAACTGTCGCAAATTTCGTGAATCCCGCACGATGGATAGCGGCGTTACGAGATGGACAAATATAAGATTTAAGATTTAAGCCATCGTATCTTTTATTCTCATTTCTTTTTCGTTTCTTTTTCATATATTTTAATTTCTCCTTCTTTTTCATCCCCCTTTTTGTAACAATATTTGTTTTCAAATATTTCATATACCAATCAAATATCTTAATACATGTTTTATTAACAACTTTAAATATGTACATACTATTAAATATTCAAGAAATAAAATAACGATGTCAATAACAGTTATGTTAAAGCCAGCGGCTCTCTCGCCCCAGTACTTGTCGCTCTGTGTCTGTGAACAACCTTTCGGGGTTTTGGTGGGGGTACCGAACGAGAGAGTCACTGGAGGTCGAACCTAGGGTAAATGTAAGATACAAGTAATCATAAGCGGTAGTTTAAGTTCGTTCGCTGCCTGGGTTTTATAAGTGGACTAAAAGTTAACTTATTTGTTTATTTTATATATATTTTTCATTAGCGCACAGCTGTACAAAAATATAAAGATCGAAAAATGGCTTCAAAATCGATTTTCATTGTGCATGCACATGTGGCGGACGATAAATTCATGTGAGTACGTACGTTGCAATTCGTAGATAGATTTAAATAATGAAAATACAATCGTTTAGGTCAGGGACGCACATACGTTTTCCTGAGTTAGATAAACGTGATGCATTGTGGTCTAGCTTGGGTACAAATTAAACAACACCATATATGATCAGGCATACAAAAAAAGATGTTTGTATTGAATCTAGACTACAATGCACCTGGTTTGCTAGCTCAGAAAACGTTTATGTAGTTACCAGATGGTGTTAAACACCAGAGCCAATTCATCTACGTACACGAATAACGTATTTTTAAAGGGTTGTTTTTCAAACTAGATAGAGGGAGTGGCAGGGGAACTGTATCGCATCAACTGAGTGTTTTGTACATGCATAAGAGTGTTTTCCAAATTCAGCCTACTATTTAATGCGTAACTAAGATTTGCTACCAGTCTTCCTACGGAAGCAGCAGACTCTCTCTCTCTCTAGGTCTACAAAATACTAGAAAAAATGCCTGCACGTATGAGTTAAGTGCTAAGAAACAAACTGAGCAGCCAATTAGATATATTATATCATTATGTAATATCTACTTAGCATTTTTATTTTATGTACATATAAAACTAAACTATATTCAACTGCTAAAATAAGATTTTTTACATGAGTCATTCTTTTCTAAACAGACGTACCAACTCACCCAATGGACACACCCAATGGAATTAATGCGCATTTGATCATATTCACATGTTAAAATCGCGCTTTATAGTATTAAATATTATTATTATTGAATCCGCCCTAAAGACCACACCTTAAGGACCACGCCCTATGTACCACGCACCAAAAAAGAGTGTGTACCTGACGCAGGCCCCTACATGGTACATTTTGTACATGAAAACACGTGACGTGACGCGCGTGACGTGTACAAGCTTTTCCATTGGATGAGCAGTGATCTCGGGCAATGCTATTGGCTCAAAGGATGTCGTCCATTCCGTACTGTGGCATGTCTTTTTACAGTAACACGAAAGGTACTCCTAATCATTGCTGCATGTATATTCCTTGTTTGGAGATGTTCTTGATGTTTTCGTTAGATAGCTAGAAGGAAAAATCATTTGTAAGAGAAAAGAAATACATTCGAATATAGGACGTTTGAATCCCTTGAATGGTGGCGTCATTTGACTCCCACTACCATAATACTTCGCGAGTTTTCTTTCTTATTTAAATTTGTATTCCCTCAGGAGAACAGTAAGACAGTAAGGCAATTGGTGCTAATTAACTGAAGAAATGACGCCATCATGCAAACGTGCTATTAGTAAAAGAAGGTAGACAATGGACGGATCTAGGGGTGTGTAGCGGCGGTGGGACCGCTCCGGCCCCAAAAGTTTGATTGAAAAATAATAATCGTGCGAATTTTCTTTTTTCTTTCTTTCTTTTTTGTGGAAGATAATAAGGTTTATTTCTATGTATTTGAAAGATTTTCTTTCAATATTATTGCAAGTTAGTTACGGTTTAGCACCGTCGTATCTCGGCACCAGAATGTCATTAATTCATGCGGGATTCCTGTGGATATGGCGGGAAACTCTTAACATCAAACGCGCGTACGTTTGACGGTTTTGGCGGGAAAATTCCCATGCGCGCCACCTGTGATCATGCAAGACCTCGATAAAGCTACGCCACTTCAAGCGAACAGTGATCAGGTAAGTGGCATGGACTTTTTTTTTGAGAATTAGTCAATATTTCGTTCTTACCACTTTAAACAGGTCCCTGATTGAGTTCCTCTGCTTATTTTCGAAGTTGTTCCTTGGATTCTTTTCAGCTCCTTGAGAAGAGATCTATTGATAAATGAAGAATGCGTGACTAAACTATCAATGTGTATCACTGTCTGTCTTTCTGTCTGTCTGTCTAACTGTTTGACCGTCTGATCACAATCTGACTGTTTGAATGACTTTCTGTCTGCTTGCCTGTCCTACTGTCTATCTGTCTGTGTGTTTGCCAGTGTCTGTCTTGCTGTCTACCTGTCTGTGTGCCAGTTTATGTGTCTGTCTGTCTGTTTGTCTATCCGTCTGGTTATCTGTTTGTCTGTCTGTCTGCGTATCAATCTTTGAAGCCGTCTTACCTTACTGTGTTGTTGAGGGAGTCAACCTGTTCTCTCAAGACGCTGTTTTCGGAGTTCACGTAGTCCACCCTACATAAAAAGAATAGTAAAAACAATAACTTTAAGAATAATGACAACGAAACAAATTGCATGCGTTCACTTATCAATTAAACTGACCCCACTTGAACACTGATACGAAAATATAAATACGCCATGTGTTTGATCCTTGAGTGAATCGTTGTGTGAACTATAGATCGTTGTGTGAATAGATAAAGGCATTTTTCTTATTTCAAAATGGAAAAAAATTCTCAGGCAAGGTATTCGAGATCCCTGTCCTTCCTTCCTTGTATTCTTCTTGCGCGGCCAACCATTCACACAGGCATCCCGCGCAGCCTAAAATCATCTCGATTAAGCTGATCAATATTCTATTGGTTTCTTACCTTTTCTCTAGGCTTTCGACGTATTCTTTTTTCTTTCTCCGACTTTCTTGTGCCGAAAGCTAAACAACGAAAAATATTTTTTTGGGTTAGATTTTTTAGCATTATTTCACTATTTGTCTTTTATGTTTTGCAGGTTTTAGTTTTTGAATCAAGTCTCTTTTTTTATTTATTTTTTATTTATTTATTTTTATTTGTATTTGGGTCAGTTTTATTTAATAAAGAGGCTGTTAAGTATTCCGACATATTAAAAATTGCGTCCTCTTAACCAGCCCCATAAATCAGTGCGCGTCCTTATCGCTCGTTACCAGTTTTCTGCGCAAACAGACCATTGCAATAGCATACCTTGTTTTTAATCTTTCTTCTTATCCTTTTGAGTGCTCTTTCTTCGGACTAAAAAAAACAATTGAATGCATTTAAATCGATCATATCATTTGAATCTTGTTAAATTTTGACTGAGCGCTTACTTTAGTGCACGGAGATCCACGGTTTAGAATAGGATATCCCTCTAACAAGAACGCTTCTCTCTCTCCTTCGGTGAGATCACCAGTGAAGATTTCCCTTGATTCATATCCAGTGCTTGCCTGCTTCGAAAGAAAAAATCATAAGTTTATTTAGGAATGGTATATTTATTTCTAACTGACTCACTGTCTCACACCTTAATGCCCGCATTGTCAAGGGACACAAAACCACTGGACTCTGAATCGCTGCCATTTTTGTCTTCATCTGTATGCAAATTATTATTCACTTTGTTTTTCTTTTGTCCTTTCTGAAAGATTGAAATCAAAATTACATGCAATTAAATAAGCAGCCTTCAATGATAAATGGCAGATTCTTTTATAGTCTCCCTCGCATCCGTTTTTAGTGTCGGTCGTCACGCAACGCTCCGGAGAGTTGCGTGACGACCGACACTAAAAACAGATGCGAGGGAGACTACTTCTCAGTACAGCTCGTTAAAAAACCTGCACAGGAATCCCACTTGAGATAATTGCAATAAAAGAAAGCTGGTAAAATTTAATAAAATCAAAATATGGCGCTTTCTTTTTTTTTTTTTTTTTTTTTTT